AACAAGAGCAGGGAGGGATGACAAATCATTTCTCTGCTCCCTTATTGCCAGAGATGTGGGGATGGAGAGTGGGCTGAAGTAGTTACAACAGAACCTGAAAGACCTAGAACCTGTGCTCATTGCAAGAAAAGCGTGGTCGCACCAGCGGAGCAGGAAGCTGCCTCTTGCCTGCTTTTGAATGCTGGAAATAAAGAGGCACCCTTTGCCAGAGCAGAGACTCTCATTGATGCTGTGAAGAATTAGCATGGCAGTCTGGGTAGTTTTCATACTGGAAAAATAGACTGGAGTTGGTGAGTAGAAAGGTTCACTCCGTATCACTTTGGCTTGTGTGTTTCCTACCTCGGCTCTGTCTGCCCTGGCTTGTCTTGTTTCAAGCAAGATAGTTTTGTTTTTGGCGTTAAACTCTGTCTGTCCCTGAATTAGCAAACAAACTGAGATGAGACTCAGAACATTCTCTGACATCCACATGAATTGGATCCCACAGCAGCGCTTTGCCTGCGCTGTTCTGTACCATTACAGATTTAATACCGTCTTTCCAGGCCAGTGGTGGTGTGGTGCTCTGCGAACAGAGCTGTTGGGCTCTCCTTGAATGGAAGCAATTAGTATTAAGCTTGGGGTTTTTTTCTTTGGAGAAGGCTTTGCCTGTTCCTGCAGGGAGAGAGCGAGGCTCCTGGATTTATTAGGAAATGACAGAAGGAGATAGAAGAAGGAGTTGGAATCCAAGAAGATATCAGGGGAATAGAAAGAGCACAGAGGCAGCTTCAAGGTGAAGTGGATGATACAATTTTGGAAGACTTGTCTGTTGCAAAGGGGATTCGGGTGACCAGTTTATCTGTTCTTCCCTACTCCGGTGTATTTTATAGCTGTGTTTGCAGTTGAATTTGGTTATCTGCAAACATTTGAAAGCCATGACATGCTTTCCTTGCTTCTAATGGTAGGTACCTTCTGATATCCAGCTGCCTGGTACTGTGCGCCTTGTGGTTTCCCAGTACCATCGAGAACTATTTTGTTGAAATGGAAGAAAGGGCATTTAGCTGAAGATGCCTAGTTAATGCATTTCAGTTAGAAGCAGTATCTTAAATGTTGCTGCATGGGATTTTGGTTTTTTTCCCCCTTCCTTTAAAAGCAGGCAATTGGGTGATGTAAATCAGTGTGAATAAAGGCACTGGAACTAACTGAAAGGAAGCCTCGGTGTGTACCGACTTCTGTCCGCAACGAAAACTAACACAAGGTGTTTGGAGGAATGATGAGACTGTCCTGTGGAATCCAGTTGGTGCTTGTTTTCAGGAGCGCTATATTTAAGGGCATAGAAATTAACCACAAAAGGCCTGGGATTAGGAAAAAGCAACTTGGTTAATACATATGTTTTGTTGTTTCTGTTTGGTTTTGTGCTGTCTTCTGAAGCACCCAGTTCTGGCTACTCAGAGAGCAGCCATGGGAGTGTTCAGGTTGTGGATTTGATCTCATTGCGCAACTTCTGTTCACCTCACGGTATTTGGAGTCTTGTAGCCTGCAAAAGAAACAGAGATGTTCTATTTTCTTTCTCATTTTTGAAAGGATGATCATTTCTTTACTGGCTTCAGAACCAAAGATCTTCTGATTTGCAATCAGCTGGTGGGGGGAAGTCTTCAAATAGCTTTCATTTTCATTAAATGGTAGAGTTCGTATGGGTTAGCAAGTATTATGCTGTGCTTTCGCCTCTGTGACTGAGGGTTCTTTCTAGGCCTGCTGGTGAACCATTTCAGCAAGTGGGTCACAAGCAGCAAATAATCTGTTAAAAGAAAAGTCTGTTTCTTGTGTTGGCAGATCAAATTCTGCAACGGCCTAGATTGAACTAATTGCCTGGTTAATGTTTCCTTCCCTTCTCAGCAGCACGAGGTTTTTCTGGAGGTACATGCCTGGACTGCATTTTGAAATATGGTTTAGTCATGGAGAGGACTGATTTCATATTGATTGCAGACCAAAAATTTGCCAGCCAAATATATAGATTTCAGTGCTTCGTTGTGCAGCCTCTGAAAAAAGCCAGCAGGTGTTGCTTTCCCCTCTGCCCCCAGCAATTGCTTTCCCGAGATACAGAGAGGAGCGATTGCAAGAGCTTCATCTCTATCCAGCCAAGGAGGTGCTTTTCTTTTTCTCCTCCCATGCTGCATCTGGTTGGCTGTTTTTTGAACAGTGTAATGTGTCATGCATCTCGTATTACTAGAAAACACCCATGTAGAAAACGAAAAAACAGGTACCAGGCCAAAAGTAACAGGAGTTTCTGCACCTCTGTGTGTGGGTGACAGGGGCAGACAGTTCCTGCCACTCAGATCACAGCCTGGCAGGGGACCAAGGAAGAAAGCTCAGGAAGAAACAGGAGGAAAACCGGTTGTTACCACAAATAAAAAGGAGTAGAGCCTGGTCTATTCCTGTAGCTGTGCCTGGAGACAATCCAGGTTTCATCAGGAGTGTTACACCAGCAGCTTGTTCATTCTTCTTATTTCCCTCGCATAGCAGCTCCTCTGTTTGCCAAAGGCCACGTGGCATCGCAAGGATCGTCTGACTTGCCCAGAGGCCAGCAGAGTTTTCTTGGCTACTTCTCATGTGCTTTATTATGTAGAAGCTTTGTCCACTGTCTTGCAGCTACATGGGGTTTTTGCTTCCCCTTCAAAAGGGGTTTGTACGGGCTATTCCAGAGGGGTGTTCACTATTTACCTCTTCTTTGACGCTGCCCTCCACCTTCTCCGTCTGCAGAGAGCTGTTCTGCCAGGCTCACTGCAGGGGTGTTGCAGTATGGTGTGACCAACTGTGAAAATTTGACACTTTACTCGGAAAATATCTGTAAGATGCTTGGAAAAAGTATCTGCAGCATAGGCAGTGGGATACGCTCTTTCTAAAAGCCGTGGTCATCTTTGTCTTTCTCCCTGGTCCCACAGACTTAAAGCAAATGAAAGTAATGAATTGCAGAAAGGGTTTCCTGAGCATGGAGTTTGACATTAGTTTGGAAAAAGGGCTTCGGACAAGTCATGTAACAGAGGCAGAACCTCTTGCTGCCACCCTGATTCACCAGGTCCACAGATGAGAACGGAGTGCTTGGTGATCTTATGATGCATTTAATCTATGTTGTTTAACATCTCCCTGAATTCTGACCGCCTTGTCTGAGGTCTGTGCTTCTTCCTAAATAGTTCCTATGAATCTGTAGCAAAACTTCTTTTTCTGTGTTGGCTTTGTCTGCAAGGCCTCTGGCAGTGTTTCGTCCGAACAGGGAGTTTCTAAGAGGGGTTTTGACCTTAAAAGAGAAATTATCTGTCTCTGAGGAGCTCTGAGAGGCAGCCTCTGCTAGATAGCCAGTTAGTTATGCCAGTAATGAGTATCTGGAAAAGGCACTGATTTTTTCAGTGTGTAGCTTGAAGTTGCTTCAACTTCTTAGTCTTGTTTGCAGAACAGAAGTCCCAGAAAATTTTCCCAGAAAATTCAGAAATTCCTTCCTCCCTGGTCCCAAAAGATGGTGTTCTTTGGTGGGTTTCTGGTGTGTGCTGTGTGTGTGTGTTGTCAAAGTCCGTGGTTAGTGTTGCTGCTGTGGCAACCTCTGAAGCATTGAGTGGCTGCTGTCATCCTCAGGCAGACACTTTGCTTTTTTTTGTGCATAAGCACATAAGCATATGTGGTTTTGGTTTATTCCTAGTGTCAGTTTTACCTGACAGGAGGGGGAAATTTGGCAAATAACACCCGCTTGTAGAGTTTTCTCGGGGTGGAGCTGCTGACATTCAATTGCTTCAGGGATTGCATGAAGCGGTTGCACTGACATTTCAGAAATGGGATTCATCATTTAATGGGCATGGGTAATGGCTGTATTTTGTTGTCCTAAGGATGAGATACATAAGCAGGTGGGTGAGAGGGATGGTTAATGTGTGCTGAAGGGCACAGACAGGGAGTAGGCAGGGAATATGTTCTCATCCTGGAGGATGCTGGGTTGCAGGTAGGATTGCATGAGCTCTCCTTGGACATAAGGGATAGAGAAAGTGAAAAACATGCACAAGACAATCGGATTGTCCCCTTTTGACCTTCACAATGTCAGATACCAGATTTCAAGTGGATCCTTTAAAAGTTTGTTTTATTGATAAAATTCAGCTTTCACTTTCACCGTTCTCATGAGATGAATACAAATTATAAAGCAAACCCTTGTCTGACCTACTTAACAGCACGGTAGTGATCCAGGTTCCTTCACATAGTAAAACTTTGGGTAGCAAAAGGTTTACATATGTGCTCCAGCTGTTGAGCCTTGTGTTTGACAGTGCCTTCTGTGTGGGAACACTGTGTAAAATCTTATTTGGTCGTTTGTATGCTGTGTTAGCGAGTCACATATGTGGGTTGTTGTTTGGGGGATCTCCTGCGATTTAGCCCTGACTGGGTAACTTCTGCAATGAGAAGGGATTTTACACCTGCTTCAGTGAGCCACCTTCTAAAATTAGGAATTGCTTAATGCGCTGTGGGCATCGCCAATAGCAGCTTCCTTTGAAGTCTCTGTAAATGCGCTAGTCTCTGTGACTTCTTTGTAAAGTCATAGGAAGGGCTGCTTCCCATCCGCAGAACGTGTAGGCTCTGTAACCTCTCTAACTCCTGACAGCCTGTTTTCACATGGGCGACATGCTGGGCCAGCGTTTCACCCAACCAGCCTGTGTTCTCAGCTGCAACGGACAGATGAAGGTTCTGATGAAAACTGCGGTGTGGGTATTGCTGAAGTCATGTCTCCCTCACAACTGTTGGTAACTGGTCACCTTTCCATCGGTTTGCGTGTCAGGACCTTTGGCACCTCAGGACTGTTGCCTCTCTTGAATGAACCGATTAAAAACTAAGGACATTCCAGCAGCTAAATGTTCAGAGCTAAAAATGAGAAATGACATTTTGTTTTTGAAATAAAGCTTGTTAACAAGTTCAAAGTGCTATCAAAATTACTTTGGTGATGTGAGCTTCTAGATCAGCTCAGTGCTTAATGTGCTTTATTTCTCTTCCTCTCGCAGCTCTGCGGAACCGAATATTCCTGTGACAGGAGGATTGCTATGGACCCAGAATGACTTCCATAAAATAAAAAGTGGCCTTCAACTTTTCTAAAACAGCGGAGAGAGCTCTGCGGTTTTCAGTATTGCACAAGATAAGTGACATGGGAGAACTAGTAATGGTGATGGGGAAATAGCCACTCCAGGATATATTTCTTTTTTTTTTTCATGAAGATTTACTGATTTTTACCATGTAAAATCAGTATTTTGTAAAGGTAGTGTTTTAAGTTCCATGTGTAGTAACCATTGTCTTGCTTAACCACTATCATGTCAGAGTACTTTGAAATCCTTCAGTGTTCTTTCATTTTTTTCATGGTTAATAAATACAACCGACTGAAGGCAAACCTTCTTTCTGGATCCTGTTTTTCCTTTTCCACTCAGGTATTCTAGAAAGTGTCTGCTGGTCCTTGTTAGCCAGACTGTTGAGCCCTTCCTATTTCAGTGACACTAATATTGTCCTGTATGAGTTTGCATGATTTTGCCAGGATAAGCTTGTGCTACAGTTTCCATCTAGCTAGGATTTCACATGAAGCTTCAGGGATTGAGCCTAGTTAGAGGACGGCTGAATGCACTGTAGTGCTTAAATATCTTTGAAATTTTCCTCACTGTTTTTTTTCAAGTGATAGTCTTCAGGCCACTACTATCTCTTTTTAATTCAAGTTTTGTGCTTGATGTCGTTTCTATTCATGATTTTTCTGAGGTTGATAACTAATACTGTGGTCTTTTCTGAGAGCTGGTGTGATTACTGCAGACGTGGACTCGAGTACCTTGTTGGAAAGTTGTTGAGAAAAAGGATTTCCAGCTACTTTTTCCTAAATTCAGTAATCTGTATTAAAGGTTCTCAGAACTTGGAGGCTTTTGCAATTACCTGTCAAAAAATATGTGGCGTTTAGGCATATATTTATTGCAGGACTCCTCAGTAAGAATTTGCTGGAGTGTATCTGCTACAGGGTGAGACAGAGCCCTTCTCTGAGTCAGTCTAATAATCTGCAGTATTTACAAACTAAACAGAAACATGTCAGTGCAGCATTATGAAATGGAATCTTTTTAGTTCTTTAGAGCTACTGCTGACATGTGCTGATGTTGTGTAGATACTGAAAGGGACGTACAGCTTTAGCAGTACATGGGATAGGATTGACTTGCAAGTTAGAACAGCAGCTTCATGGATGCTTTGAGCTGGCTCTCAAGTAAAGGCTTAGCTAAATGTCCATCATCTAAGTATTACTTCTTTGTTCTAATTTTTTGTTATCCTGTTTTACTGTGGTTACTCTTTACCAGGCAGCCAAAAGTTGTTTAAAATGGAAGGCAGATTGTATGTTTCCTTCTCTAAAAAACAAGAAGTGCTAATGCAAAAGAGAACTTCTCTTTCTGTTAGGAGGGATTTTTCATGTAAGCCCTTCCCCTATCCAGTATTTTTAGAAATTTCTTCTTTTACCCATCAGTTCCTCAAGCTTATTTAGGAAATTTTGAGTGAAGAGGGTTTTTTCTTTTATTACTGCATTTAGTAGAGTATGAAATTGCTTAAATTATTGTATTTGGTACTTCTGAGGTCTGTCAATGCAAAGATAACAGAAAGGAGAGGGTGATGCTGGCAAAATGCTGTGCTACATATAATTTTTTTTCCCCTTTGGTAAAAGTTTACTGGGTAAAATTTGTTTTCAATGTGCCAATTATTATCTTTGCTAGAAGCATATTCTGAGTGGGGATGGGGAAGGCAATGTTGATGTATTCCTAAATTACTTGATTTTTCCTTTGCCTGGGGCAGGACTTCTTGAGACTTTCTCCCTGTAAATTAATCTCTCCAGACAGATTTTTACTGTCTGAAAAAACATCTCCAAAGGGAAGCTACAGAAAGGAACGGAGATAGAAGCTGGGACTACATGGAATAGGAATTGCTGAGGAAGTTAAGGCCTGGGGCTACTGTTTCTGTGGCCTGTGAGCCCTTCTGGCTTTTGCCGCTTCTTGATTTTCTTTTCAGTGTAAGTAATTGGACAGAGTACTGGAACCTCAGATAACTTCTTCCTGGCTATTCAAGTCTTTAATATTGTATTCTCATTCCCAAAGGCAGCTACTCTGAGAAGGACTTCAGCTCTACCCAGGGGTTACAGTTTTGTTGAGAAAACAGGAACAGTAAGAATATCCTATAGAATCTAAGTGGTACTTGTTTTCAGGAGTGGAGTACTTGAGGATGCAAGTTAAGCAAAAAGGGCCTGGGATTCGGAACAGGCAACTTTGTAATACAGGTATTTTCTTGGTTTTGAGCAGGCTTGTGCTGTCTTCTGAAGCACCTGGTTCCCGGCCAGTGTGAGAGGTTCAGGCAAATCCAGACCGAGGTGATCTTTGTGTATCATTTTCCTTTCTTTCCCCCTCCAACTTAAAGCAGTTTGAGTCAAAGCAATAGTAGTAAGTTGACACTGTATCACCTCCCTCAGAGTAAAGGAAATGATCAATGTTTAAATAGCAAAAGAAAATTTTTAATATAGAGACTGACAAAGGATGTTATTCTGACAAGACAGTGGAAGAGCTGCTTTTTGGACAAAACAGCTTTTTTAGGGCTCTTGCCTAAAGAGGGTTACAAAACAAAAAGCTAGAAACAAATAATACAATGGCTCTCAGTTTTATTAAATAAGCAATTTATATATATATATAAAGTATAACATGTTTCATATTATTAAATAATTGTGCAAACCTTTTACACAGAGCAGGGGCAGGGGACAGGTAATAACCTATATTTGTTAGATTCTTCTCTCGATTCTTTTAATACGTTTACAAACTTTAAATACCACAGATCAAAATCATAGCTACTGTACAATGGCTCTTCAAAAGGCTAACCAAACACTGGCATGAGAATAATTTAAGTGGCAGTGCACGTGTATTTTTCCAGTTGAAATATTGCAAGAAATACAGTTAATAAGGGCTCTGTTGCAGAGACAAGCTGTGGGTACATAAAAGGAGTATTAAAGCTGAACACTTGCCCTAGAAATAATCGTGACAGATGTGATGATCTGGCTGCTCTGAGTCTTGTAGTACTTGTGTTTCAGGTGAACTTCTGACTTCTGGCAAGTCAAGATAAAGCAATATTTCAACTCCATGGAGCAAAGTCTCCCAGAAATGATGTGTATTCCTTGCCTTTAAGCATGGAAGTTTAAAAATTACTGTAGTCAAAATATATCCCTTGAGATGTTCCTGCGTGTGGTTTGCTATACACTGCAGGTGTACATGTGTGTCACCAGTATTTCTAACTGAATTATTTGGACAGATTCTTTGCATCTTCTCACTTTATCATCAAAAATTTTGAAATGCCAAAATTCATGACTTAAGGCAAACTGGCATTAAAGGTAGGTGGGCGGAACTCACCTATGTAGATGTTTTGGGTTTGTTTGGTTGGGTTTTTTTTTAATGCGGATCCTTCTACTTGTTCTAAGCAACCATACCCACACCTTCTGTTTTTAAGTTTCCAGTTAAAGCATTTTTACAAAAGCTAAACAGACTCATGCTAGGGAATGAATTACATGCAGCAGCAGCAACTGGAGCAGTGCGTGCTTATTACTACAGAGATTTAGGAATACCACATACTGGTTTAACATCCATTTTCACTCATTTTTGTCATTAAGACTTACATAATATTTGGGTCAACCAAAAAAAAAACCCAAAGAGCTTTATAAAATTTACAACAATTAAACAGTAATGTTTAATTCTACAAATGAATAAAGCCACCTACTTTAGCTCAACATGACAACACCAGGATTAACAGCAGTGAAATCATCTGTATGTACAGTTTAATATAGTACTGACATGGAATTCTCACAAAAAATATTCAATAACTTAGACTGACATACCATAAAGCATTTGATTTTGGATTAATGAATTTAAGGTTATACACTCTTAAGTGACTAATTTTGTGAAAGTAATACAGCTAAAGGTGCACAATCAGTAAATAAGAATTCCCAGAGAACGCTCTGGCCCCAGTAAAGCACTGAAGTCAACTGCTTAAGTCTTGCGGATTGCAGTAGGCCAGGATTATACCTTCCCACTTCTTTTTTTCTCATCTAGAATTGTAATTTCATGGATTTTATTAAAATATAGTTTCTAGAACTGTTCTCTTACAGTTTTAAAAACATTTAAATACCATGCTCTCAAAAAGAGCATTTATACAAAGTCTTATATTTACAATATAGACAGTTATGATCAGGTGTTAGTAAGATCAACTCTTCCACGTAAGAAGAAATCTAAGTTTATGCGCTGAAGATTAATGAACGTGTCAGTGTTTTGAATTGGCTTGTAAACATACCTGACAACAGATGCGGATGACTAATTAAAGTAGTTGATTAGGAGAGACTACATCACATACAAAAGTTTTCTTACCTTTAAAGAGGACTAAACAAGCACAAAAATTGCAAATTATTTCCACAAGGCTCCACTGCCCGTTCTATAAGTCTGTGCAAGATCAATGCTAATAGCTTCATCGAAAAAGACAATTTGCCCTCAAAGTGCCTTAGGTAAATTGTACACGGAGTTTGTATTGGCATAGCATTCCCATTGTTTAAAAAGGAATTATTCTGTCAGTAAGACAAAAGTTAATGAAAATTAAAATGACTAGACAGATCCTACAAAAATTAGTATCTCCATAAACCACCCAACACTTCATACAGAAATTTCTGCTCAGTTTTCCACATTAGAAAACATCAAAGACACCTACTAAACCTCTCTTAAAATAGCTTATCTTTAGAACTGGAGAAAAAGGGAACAAACATTTTTCTACATACAAGTATTTAATTCCATGCAAGATGGAAAACATGAGTGCACAATAAACTTCATTTTATACTGAAATAATTTATAAATTAATCCATTAAGATTAAAGCAGGGTCTATAGCAGTTATATTGTTACACCTTAAACACATGCAAATGAGTTAACAGCAACATTTTTACATAAAGTTTAGTGCAAGAATGTATCTGCTTAATAAATAGACTGAAGATAATTATGTAATGCTTTGAGGTGTACACACAGTATCTGTGCACATAACAAACTGGTTTGAAAAGTTGTCCGTGTTTGTCTATAAACTACAAGTGCCCATTTGAAATAAAAAAGATCCATAATTACTCATGGGCTACTTCACTGTGACACACGGTGTCACAAACATTGTGGTGAAAATGTAATACTGAAGTTAATCTAGAGATTATTTTATTTTTTATACACAGTTTTTATACAATCAAGAAAAAGAGATACAATTTGTATCAACAAACAAAAGGTCATTTCTGGTTATTTGAGGCATTGCTCTCAGCTGCTTATACCATGCAAGAGAAGAGAGTAAGAATTAATTGCAAATTAAAAATATAAAATGCTGGTTAGTTAAGAAATGTTTTTGAAAACTGGTCAAGAGTTAAATCTGTTTTCCCCAACTATTATAAATGTCTGAAGATTTTTTTTTTCCCCATTAACAGAGACAATAACCAACTAATTAAAACTTAAGTTACTTTTATACACCAACTGTAAATACAGAATCACCTTCAAGTTAACTAATTTTAAATACGTAATGACATGGTCATTATATGTGTTACCTGTATCAACACACGAGTGTTTATCTTGTGTGAAATGATATGGTTATCAAATATCAGTAAGCTAACTGCAGTTGCACCTGTAATTGTGCCGTGCTGTTGGTTTGGGAGTTCTATTTAATATGACAGGAACATATTTTGCATATGAGAAAGAGCCCACGAGATATTTAGAATCAAACCAACCATTACAATAACACAAGTGGAGGAAATTATAAAACTTTGTTTCTCAGACAAACGGATAACTAGAAAGCAGCATGCAAGCCATTATCAAAACACCAGAAACAACCCTGACTGCAGCCTCACGTTCCGTGTGTTTCACAGTAAGAAACATTTAGGCAGTGTCACACCTTCTCATGAAGAAACAAAAGGCCATAAACCCGGCCTTCTCAACTTTCATGAAAAAAACTACAGTAGAAGTCAAGTCCTAGCTCAAGAGGTATCGAGTTAGTCATGGTTCGAAATGTTGAAATATACAATGGATTCAAAAGAGGGCGTCCAGTCAGTGCAGCTTAAAAAACAATAAACGCCTCTTCTGGAGACATTTAGCTACAAACGTTCCCACCCTGAGCAAGATACCAGTTGCGCAAACAATGCCACACAAAGTTATCTCACCTGTTGAAACAGGAACTCTAAAAGCCTTCATGAGGCAAATGCACACCTTTGCATGGATCTGAAGAGCAAAAACCAGGCCAGCTTTGCCCCAAACTCAAACTGCAGTATCTCTCTTCAGGAACCCCCTTCTCAAGTTGATCCTGTACAGCCACCTGGAACGTTGGGCTCACTCAAACACCATCCTTGCCCCTAGAGGAAGGGCTGTAGTGACGGATGGACTTCCATGTTAACATCCACTTTATGCTACTTCAGGTTGAGTAATCCAATTTACGTACAACTGACCATTTGCTTACAGCTTGTCTGGTCATCGGGGCCACCGGCTGCTTACTGCACAGCTGAGAGGCGATTCCGAAGAGAGAAGCTACAGTTAAACTTCTAGTTTATTGAAGGGCACTCACTCATTCACATTCCTTAATGTTTTGGTCCTAATTTAATAAAGTATTTGGCTTCTGTTGGATTGAGCCATCGTATTGGACAATGTAATAGATGCTCAAACTCTTGGGGAACATTTCTGAAATTTAAGTATCAAAAACAATATAGGCATTCAAAAGCTGAAATCAGTTTTTCCTTCTACAACTTGAATATTTTAGTTTTTGTCAAGTTTGCTTTTTCTTCGATATTTAATATGCCAGTAAGCAGTGTCAAATGAAAAGCTGAAACCCTAGAAGTCATCTGGGTGTGTACAGAGCATCCTTTTAAATGCCAATTAGGTATTTATAAGCAAATTTAAAGTGTACACTAATACATGCAGTATAATTGCTAACAATAATTTTGTAGTAACAGCTTTGAGACACTGAACGTGACATTGTAGTTCTTAATGAGTTATCCATGCAGCAAGGTATGCATTTCCTGTAAAATACTATTAAAAATCCCTATATTTAAAATCTTAAAATTTACAATACAATCAACTCCTACATAGTGCCTCGGCATATATATGATTGCTACTGTGTACAGAATTTATACTGTCTTAGTAGAAAATATTTACAATAGATTGGCCCCTTTCTTCTTCATTTAAGTTTTCCTCCAGGTCCTATATGCCATACAGTTTAATTTATCCAAAAGAGACTGTAATGATTTAACGTCCTGTTCTTAATTTGGCAACAATCATAGCTGCTAGCTGTTGTGCATCTGTCATGTGGGGATTCTTTTCCATCACAGAAAGGACAATGCTCGGAGGGAAGATATTGCAGAGGTTCTTATACGTTTGATACTGATGTTCTGGGATGATATGTGGTTCCTGTGGCTCACCACATATCCCAATCCAGGGATTCCTCCAGAGTTGCTCCATCTTCTCGGGCATGCTTCTTACCATGACAGGTTCATAACATGGCTGCATGAGGTTGTTTTTCAGTGGATACGAGTGGTACGTGTAAGAGTCGGATGCACATGGTAATGGATCCCAGCTAGCATGCTGCTCTCGACAGAGAGGTGGTCTTCTCTGTCTCGTCGGGTTACTTTCATAAAGCCGTGAGTCAGAAATGCTGTCCATTCTTGTCATGACCAAGGCGCGGCTTGGTTGTGCAGTTGATGGATGAACGGTTTGAGGCACAGGGTACTCTCCTGGACAACTGGACCGTGCTCCAACAACCGGATGCTGGGCATGTAGGCCTAAGTGGGAAACTGACTGTTTGCGAAGGGATTGCTTAGGCTCTTCAGTTCCGTAACTTTGAACTCTATTTAAGGCTTCATGGTAACCATGGGAAAAAGGCTGAAGACGATTTTGCGATGGCAGTCTGTGGATCTTCACATTGTCTTCTTCTGGACTGGCATCTGCTACACCCAGATATAAGTCATTGTAAGAGGAATAAGAATCATTACTTGTATGGCTTAAGCAATTGTCAGGACAGGGGCTCGAGTTTCTAGAATACATCCCCTGGTCCAGATCAGCCCTGTAATAATCTGTGTTACGAATACTACTTAGGCTCAAGTTGGAGAAATCACTAAGTAAGGAGTAATAGCCATGGTCCCCCAATGACTCGTATTTGGGGTACTGGTCGTTATAGCTAACTGAAGTGCCATGGCTATTGGTGACTAGAATAGGAGGATATTGCACACTGGACATATGCTCCAGTGAGGATTTCTGATGCATGAACTGTGAGGAACCTGGCACCGGACTGCTTGCAGAACGAGTGTTTAATGCACCAGCTGCATGGCTTTTTGGTGGAGGGAGCGTTGGTACACTTAATGCAGAAACCAGAGACGGGACAGAGCTGGCCTCGGACTTCCGGGCTACTGATAACTTTTCCTCAGGCTCCACAGCTACTGATCTAATGCTTGGATCTGACTGACGTTTTGGGGCAATGCGTTTCACCTCAGAACTGATCTCTCCTTTGGAGCTGGGTGGCCCTGTGCCACATTTGGCCAAGGCTCCCTCACTCATAGTTTTCACTGCAGATAATTTGGCACTTATTCGAAGCTCATCCGCTACTGACCTTTGAGGCTGGTTTGCCCGTTCTGGGTGGTAATATTTACATTTGTGCCCATAGGTGCACTTTTTACCTGGAAGAAAAGTGTTTTCAGGTTAAATAAACCAAAAACTAATCAATACCACTAGTTGCTATCTTTTTTCTTTACATCTTTCACCACTACTCAATAGTAATATTTACATATTAACCACCTAAGAAATCATTATATATATTGTAGATATAAGTGGTCACAGACTCTTCTAACTATCCGTGTATATCCCTGCATCGAGGGCAGGACACATCACTTTTCTTCCTACTGGTTCATGATTTCAATACTGACAACATAATGCTATAAAAACCAAAACAGCTGCACCACAGTTTGTATAGTTACCAATCTCCTTCCTTGAATACAAACCAGAAGAAAATAGCAAAAAAATGTGTTATCCACAAGATGTATCTGGTGATCCCTAATCTTCTGCTACATTGTTTTTATTAATATGTGTACAAAGAGTGTAAAAACTGATACAATGCTTGGATGGCAAAACAAAAAAATGGCTTTTTTTTTTTCCCAGTAATGACAAGATGTTAAATTAATTGCTTGCTTCACCTACCTTTGAATACAACAAATCAGTCTGACTTAGGCACTTACCATAAGGACACGGTTGTTTCTTATGTTCAGGAATAACTGGCCTTTTTCTTAAGAAATTTTCAAGGCTTGGACCATGGCGTCCTAAAGGATCATCAGGAGGCATAAATCTAAGGGGAAAGAAATTAAATGCAAATTTTAGTTTTTAATAAGATTTAGCAAATTCTCTTACTTTTGAAGAAAAAAGCATACTTGTCATTCACAAAAGAATACATTAGCAGCCGCTCCTCTATGAACTTCTTCCATTCCGGTTTTTCATTTTGAAGATCCCGATAGTTGTCATTTGACACAATGATGCCATCTGAGTCGAAAGCAAGTTTTACTATGAATCGATCATCATAGCAAACTACTCTTCTTCCCTGAACTCTTCGAGATGGGGTGAAAACAAGAATTTTTTCTTTCTCCAATTTACGTAATATTTCTTGATCTGTAAAATAATTTTATTGAGCAGCTTTTAAAAAAGTTTTAAAAGAAAGAAATGTAGCCTTTGAAATACAAAACTTCTTGCCCTCTTTTCTGACAGTGTCTTATAATTATGTTCACATACAGTCCCCATTATCATTATAAAATATGTAGATACAGACTGACATTTTATTTCTGAGGTTTCAAAGAACTGGGTAAATGCTCAATATTTAAGCTTCATAACCCCTCTAGTCCTCTGTAAACAACAGTGTACCTTTACTCAATCTTCCTGAACATGCCAAGAACTCCGTTGTTTCTGTATTACAATAGCCTTCTTGTTATCCTAGAGTTAAACGTACAAGTACTTTCTGTGCGTAAAAACACATGCTACTTCTTCAGCATTCAAGATAATCCTACTAAATGAGTCCCTGGCCTGATACTAATATTTTATACTCACCCAGCAATTGAGAATCAGTTCCTATATGCTTAACAATGTTTGCTAATGGGAAAATTATGACTACTGCTTCTCAAAAGTGTTGAAACGATCCAGTAATGTTACAAAAAACCAGCACTGCTTATAGGTGAGGATACTTAAATGCATGTTCCCTCACCAGTGAGACTGGCGTGGTTTTCAAAGGAACAGTTGAGTGCAGCATCATCATGCAATGTCACCTCCACAGTCCAGTACGTAGTACACATCAGAAAGATGACATGGTTGTGTCTAAAGGCAATACTTTTTTTTTTTTTCTTTTTAACCCAGGAATTAAAGAAAATCTTGATCTGTTACCCGTAATTGGTGCATCAGGTCGAGACTGTTCTTTTCTCCATGCAGGTACAAACACAGTGATATCTTTATGTCCTTTTTCCAGAAACCAGTCAACAGCTAGTTGAATTCCCCGACAGGAAAATCCTTCTTTATTCCCATGGCTGAAAGACATGCAAAGGTTTTAGAAACAGCAAGAACAGAAGTTACATTTGGGGTTGTTTTTTGTTATTGTGGTGGTTTTCGGTTGTTTTTTGTTTTGTTTTTCCTTCTAAAGCTGCCATAGTCTAAGGATATAAGTGAAACAAATCTGTAGAGACAGGTGAATCTTTTCATTAGACCAGCTTACATAACTGGAAAAAGACAGTTGTCCAGAGCTATTCAACCATCAGATTACAGCAACACTGCTACTTAAAACTCTAGAAATTATGGAATTTCACTAAAAAGTTAAAGCCATCCATACAGAAGCACATTACAGCTAGATTGCTAGAAAAAAAGATCTGAGGGGAGAACTTGGTTTGAGAAGGGGGGAAGGGAATGGAAATACAGGTTACATATAAAGGAGTAACAGCGTAATTAAAAGACTGGACTCAAGAGTCCATAAAAAAGATGTATTATCAGTGTACACATACTACATGACTTAAAATGACTTTGCCATCAATATTGATTTTTCTCATAAATATTTTAGTGATTTATGCTTTGCAAATGTTGTGACAGGGATACTCGCCTCATAGCCACGTTGCTTCCATCAATGACAATTGGCCTCAAGTTATCACTGTTATCCACAACTTCATCTTCAAGGGACAATTCAGGGCTTGCTATTTCCTTTGGGCAAGGGCCCCTTGGCACCAGAGTACTCGTGGAACTGCTGGCACTGCTTTGTCCCTCTGATTCACTTTTGTTGCCAAGTCTCACAAGCTCTGCCAGGACATCATTGATGAGTGCATCTGCTCCCAGTTTATTCAGTACAGCCTGGATCTGATCTCCTGCATACCCAAGCTTTAAAGCAAAATCCATTTTAGCTTGGTATTCCTTGTCCAAATTTGTTTTGCATTCGTCTAGCTTCAAGTCTTGTGTGATACTGCTCTGTGAAAAACTTGGGCGATCCAAACACGGGGACCGACAAAGTGGCCGATGGGCTTTAGTGGACACCTCCTTTCCTCTCCACTGAATATTGCCACAGCTGCTTCTGAAGTATGGTTGCTCAGCTTCACTTTCTGAGCTTGTCCATTCCTCAGATTCTGCACTGCATTCCCCAGCATCTTGTTCCACGTTTCTGTCTTCTCTAGAGTGCCTCTTCTCCATTTTCAGCTTCCCTACCATAGACCAGGCCGTCATCACGTTCAGCTTCCACCTGGAGAGCTCAGTTCTCTTTCATTTCCAAAGCCACCTGTAATTCATACTCAGTTGCATCGTATTGGTCGATTAAAAGTTTACACGAGGCTGGAGTTATTCTTCCTTGCTTACTATGTTCTGGCATAAACAACACCAACATGAAGTTCCTTCAAAAAAAAAAACCCCAAAACAAGTTAGCTTTTGACAAATTCTGCGAAATACTCAGCTACAATGATTTTGTTTACAAGTCAGTAGAGGTCTCTAATCATTCACATTTCTGTGTAAAAATTGATAATAATAAAGCATATAATTGCGCTGTCTCTTTAATCACAAATTAAATTCTTTCCTTCCCCCAGTTACTCTACATACAAAAAAAAAAAAAAACACTTCCCACACAATAAACTTACAGCTGGAACTAATGGAGTATCTCAGTAATATTTAAAGATAATAAACCAGAAGAGTGACCCACCAATTTCACTAGAAACCTCTCTTTACAGCCTTCTACTGCAGGAACAGCCTATCTATATCAGGAAAAACTGTGTGGAGTTCCAATATGCATAAAAATTTAAAACAAACCATTTCAGCCTCTTTCAGTTTAGAGAACCAACACTATCAGAACCAACAAGTTAAGTTTACTGCAACCTGGCTGCTAGACACGTAGAGGTCAACAACAAGATGCACAAAGGTTCTACACTACAATCATCTTGTGCTTTGTTTACTGTACCTACTGCTCTGAAAATTCCAAAATCAAGGATGGGTATTACTGCATTTTGTCAGAAAGTCAGGATGGAGACTCATAATTCTTGTCTTATACCAGAAGAAAAATTGTTCATGGAATTCGAGTGAGAGCTCTGACAAACTAGAAGATTCAAGTGATCTGTGAATAGCTGAACTGACATCATGGAGCCTTTGAAAGATAGTTCTTAAAAGGAAAATTGCACCTACAGCAGTGCATGTTTTAGATAAAATGGTAAACTAAGACCTAGATATAAATGCAGTTAAGTAGAGAAAATGGATTACCAGAGTAATTAGCTAGAGGCCTACTTTCAGGAAGCTGCAAGTCCCACTTTCCTCTGTGAAACAGCAGGCTTGAAGAGGTAGGATCCAGTGTGAGTAACAAAAAATAATAATGTAATAGTCTTGAAGAAACCATTTATTTTAAATCCACTTTCTCATTTTGACAAATCTTGCTTTCATTCAAGTCACCTCTTTTAGGTGTGACTACAGACAAAGAGATGAAAGACTGAAAGACAGAAAAATAAGAAGGTACCAAACTTATGAAAGGGCACAGCTGTAAAGCTGCATTGACTGCAGAGGCTTCTGTCAGCACACATGCAGTCTGAAGAGGCATGAGAAGCAGGATCCTGGATTTAAACAGCAATCACAGAAGAAAGACATAGCACTGACACCAGTTTTCCAGTATACCTTTGCTTTTAACAGTATAGCCAGTTACCTCTGTGTTCTGATGAATGCTGTAGATACAAGCTGGGGATGCATGAAAAGCTCTTTCCCAGGATTCCTACAGGAATTTGTGTGACACAAAATAGGCACGACTTTGGCACTGGAACAGGGATTGGTCAAAGACGTCCTTTCCTAACAAGTTCCTCATGCAACCAAAAAGAAGTAAAAGGGAAAAAAAAGTATTAAAAAAAGTATAACTCGTGATTTTTGTGGGGTTGTTGGTCACTAGTATAACTAATAATGTATCTCTCTTTCATGCACCTTTTTCATCTCCTCTCACGTCTCTTTCGCTCCTTCAGGCTGTGAGCAAGCATTAAGACAAAATTTTCCTCAGAGCATAAGCACTAAACCAAGTACATGAATTATTTCTATACAGGATGTTATCAAATACACTTGCATTCAAAAGCTTTTCACAAATCTGATTCCAGGCTCCCCAAGAGAACACAGCAGCTCTTGTTTAGCTACTGTAGGCTACCAAAACAGCAAATAATAGGAGAAATACTCCCTTAATGTACAACAGTGTAACTCCCTTGTTGTACAGTCATGCCAAATGTAGGGACTGAAAATAAATATTGGAATCAATCTTTGGGGGGAAGCTGTGTCTAGGGTAGCTAGAAGAAGGGCACCTCTGACATTTTTTATTTTATTACTTATTTGATTTTCTTCCTAAAAATAGAACTTTGAATTTTTCTACAGAACAAAGTTCAGTAGATACTGTAATCAAGAAAATAATAACGACATCCGTGAATATACTAATTTAGTGACATAAAACAAATATAGTAAACATAAAAACAAAATCTTACATACTGGAAGTATCTTTAAAATAAAAAACTTTTTTCTGAAAAACAATATGGACATTTTACAAAGGCTTATAAGCCACAAAAGAAAAATGAAAATCACCAGTGTGCACATAAGTCAAAGCTTATTGATCCTGAGTTTTCATATCCTTTCGTTTTTAGGTAATAAAATGCTGAAAATCATAGCCTCTGATATACCACTCATCTCAGAAGGCTTTCTTCCTTGCCTATTTACTTCATTAAATGGTGGTTTTCTGCTGCCTATGTATTTCAGAGAACAACCGGTCTAGAAGAGTGATAAAATTTGATAATCAAAACCATAAAAATGCCAAAGAATCTCTAGGACAGGTCCCTATTGGCCTAACAAAACAACAACAAAACTCTACAATTGTCTGAAAGTGAAACAAAGATTATTAATCTATGAAACATTTACACAGTAATATATAATTACTTTAAACAGGCCAAACAGTAACATTCTGCAAGACTGCACTCTAATTTCTGCTCTTTACTCAGACATCTCACTTGGCTGTGGTAAATTTACATACAGGTGGAGATGGTAGATATATATCCAGATAATTAGAAACTTATCTAAGCTATTTGACAAAGGTTGCCTCTTCAGAAATTGTCTAATTTCTGGATATATCAGATAGGCAGCACTATCACTATTGCTTCCACATTTACATTTTCAGCCTTCCCTCCTGCCCCCACAAATGTAAACTATATGAGTTTTGCTCTTAATTTTTTCTCTCCTTCTCAGATGGAAAATAATATTTCTTATCTGCATATACACTGATTTCACCATTTTGTTGCTTTTTCCCAATTCCACAAACATATCTCTATTTTTCTGTTATTTCACACCATATAAGTAATTTATCATAAATTTCATTTGTCCTTCCCTGAAAGTAAGATCTTATTTTAACGAGAAGATAGTTTGATCATAGTCAGATCTAAATAATCCTGAATTCAAAAATTGTTTAAAATCTAAACAAAGAAATTTAATTCTAAGAACAATTTCTGTTACTGCTGCTGGCATACTCACTTCTGTCACAGTTAGGAAGCAAGCAGCTCAGATACGAGCCATGTCAGGAAGCAGCACTGTCTATCTAGAAGGACTGCTCTCTGCCAGCCCTGTGTTGTGGTTTACTATTCTTTGGTCGCTAGTGATAGATCCGTGGATCTGTTATGAAAGTTCACTCTATGGAAACACCCGCTTCTGTGACTCATCTTGGAGTTTCTTGCCTTTTCTTTTTCATTCATGTCAGCCTTTGGTTGAAAGCCACAAACTAGGGAAATTTAGCTGTGTCATCCCTCTCTTGCATAGCAGTGGAAAATATTTGGTCTGTGACGTAACGATCACCATCATCTTTCATATATTTGAGATGGGAATTAAAAATTCACTAAAAAAGAAAGAAATCCCTGGTTATTTTTGAACTATTTAAAAACTAAATCACAGTGTTCTATTAGAATCTCCTCTTCATATCCATCTAGGATCTTGCGAGGGAAGCACTAGAAGTCAAAAGGTCCTGTCTGTACCAACTGCAGTAATTTCTACCAAGATACATCACAGATCTTCCACAAAAAAAAAAAAAAAAAAAAAGACAATATGTAAACATTGCAGCTTCTGGGAAAGTAGGGGGTTTTCCCCATTTTCTTTTAACACCCAGCACACTAAGCCAATTTCGGAAGAGGCAACTTTTGTCAAATAGTTTAGATAACTTGTTTTAGCATCAACTCCCATGCTGTCAGAAAACGAGGCAGGCAGTCTCCAGCGCCCATCTCTACAACCTCAAACACTTTTGTACAAAGAGCTCCTGGGAAACAAGCCATCTTGCACCAAAGCCTCCCCACCCATAGCCAGTCGTTTCATCTGTGCAACTTAACTGTTCTGCTGCAACCACAGACTTGGGATGTTGTAGCATTTGTTCCCAAATGCATGATGTTAAGATTCTCAAACAATGAGGCTCATCTCATTGTTGGGTCAGGAGCACCAAAACAAACAATCCAACAACAACAGAAATATTACAGCACAGGACCAAGTTTTCACACTGGCCACTGAGGGAGGGTACCTAGGAAGGAAGAAGTGTAGTGTTGCTCATAAGCCAGCAAACATAGTGGAAAGAAGAACTAAGAAGAGAAAGCAGGAGCATCTGCTGCTACTTCAACGCAGCACCCTTCTTCACACCTGCCCGCTTAGAAATCAGATTTCTAATACCATCTCTCAGCTACAAAAACTGCACTATGGTCTCACCCACATTTCTTCATAGCCCTGAACAGTCCAATTTATACCCTATTGCAACCCCTGGAACTACCGATAGACCCACAGTTACCACTACAGATCTACTACGTGTGTTCACAGACTGTGACCCAGACCCTTGTCCCTGAGCAAGCCAGCTCTCAACAGTGAGAAAAGGCATAGATACAGAAACCTAGTGCTACCTGTCCCCAGACTGCAGGAGGGCAAAGGACCGGGACCCTTTACAGAAGGAAGAAGGAGGGGAGGAGGAGGATAAAACAAGGAGACGAAACAATAATCTCAACTCTGCACACAGAGTTAGCCTGCAAACACAGCACCTCTTTATCAGGGTAGTACCAGACTGAACAGTGCAAGAGTGAACTGTGGATTACACTTAATCTAATGCATCATGCAGAATAAAATCACAGCTCTCAGGCAAAGTCTTCAGACAGGGATATCTCAGTTGAGCTCTATTTCTGCAAGCCACAGGTGGTCCATTGAGAATTCATCAC